AAACCAGATGTTGGAATAATACGCAGAGCGTTTCTTTGAACGAGAGTGGTCATGTGACTATCAATGATATCGATGAATTCAAAATGACTATAAAAGTGTTACTGTTATAGTCACTTTGGATGAATTGTGACCAAACTGCACGATTTTCAAATCAGACGAAACTTTTAGCAGCATGTCACAGATTTGCAAAATCACCAAATTCACAAAATCCATTAAGTGCCATTTTATTGTAATCACAATGTTGAAAGGATGTGGCATATTCCGGAATTTTGCGATATTTACACAACTATTTCTCATTGATATGCGAGGTTAGGTGGGCAAAATTCAATATTTTTTTTGAATCGAATATTTTCAAGGAGTACCGAATAAACGTGGTGGAAACATTAAAAAATCCGCAACAAAGCCTTTTTACTGGTTAATTCCGTTGTAATCGCTAATTGTTCTTGTCACCGATCGTTTTGGCGGCGATATCCGGGTTTTGGGTAATCTATATTCCCGCCCTCTCTTTTTTACAAATATGAATTCTTGTGGGTCGGCGGACATCGAAGGTTTATATTTCGGGTTTACCCGTTCGTTCACATCGGCAACAGCTGTTGAAGACATTGAGGACTCAAATTAACATTTGCGTTGGCTTTAATATTACCTATCAAGATTTGTAAATTTACCGTCCCAATTTTATGCGAATGGTAATATTATTGTCCATACCGTGATGCAGATATTTATTAAGACGATAATTAACTTTCTCATGTATTTCTATGGTGATAAACTTCGCAAGTCTGAAATTGTGCCAATCCTGAATGTTGATTTAAAATAGTGATTGAATAATTCGGCAATAAAGGCATTTCTGCGTGGTCATAAGACGAGATAACGTTAATGAACAGCACTTCTTTTACAGGATATTTTACCTATGCGACTTAATGCTAAAAAGATTGGGCTCGAGTGCTTTTTTTTCGAGTGCTCGAGTGCCTAATAGAGGTCAGGCGCTAATTGTAACTAATTCCCTCAAGTTTCAACCTGTTTTCAACAAAACAATACCCCGGCGATAATTATAGCTAAAATGTTACGGAGCCATTCACAATTTTATTTATGGAATTTGCAAATTCACCAGTTTCTTGATGATTTTGATATTGTCACGCCCTAATTATTAGTGCAAAAAATACTCCCCTTCTTCCGCGGCGGTTTGACGGGTTAGTTAGACGATAGATAAAACATTAGATTAATAATTTTCGTGACGCCCCGTTTTCGAAAATACAAAGTTATATCGCAAAAAATGCGTTATGATACATTTGGAATGAAACATTATTTACGGTTAACTCAGATCATATTTTACTCTTCATAACACCCGAAAATATCCGAAAATACAGTTGTATCTCGAAAAATGTGTTTTGTTACATTTAAAATAAAATCTTTTTGCGATTAATTTAGATCAAATTTTACCTTTCACGGCAACCCGTTTCCGAAAATACAAAGTTATATCACAAAAAGATGCGTTTTGTTACATTTATTTCGCATTCCCAATAAAATACATATTTTCCTTAATTAAGGTCGTCGATGAATCTGTTCCTGTCGTTCAAGCTCGACACACGTTTGAACGAGTGTGGGGCGGTTTTTTGGTCGACGATAAATTAAAAAGTTGCCACACGTCATTTGTATTTAACGATAATAACTGAAAATTAAGATTTTATAATAGAAGTGAATTTGTCTCAAGATGGTATTTTACGATTCCTGCCCACAGAAAATAAACACGCTGGCAGGCTTGGTTATATATAATTAATATTCGTTTAATTTATTTTACACTACTAATAAACGCGCCACACCAATTGCGATCATAAAAATTGCAGTCTCATCGGTATGGACTGTATGTTTTTGGCGCTCTCACATTAATAATAATTTTCAACAAAACAATACCCCGACGGTCATTAAAGCTGAATTCGTTACCGAATAATTCACAATTTTATTTACGGAATTTGCAATTTCAAGATCTCACTTAACGATTTTGATGATGTCATGCCCTAATTATTACTGCTTAAATGCCTCAAAATACAACAAATGTAATCATTTTCGACGATAACAGGCGCAACAATTCGTAAACGAGCCGTTATATCAAATTCGCCATTGATTTTACCTCTCTTGTTTACAGTTTTAACATCCCGCCGGCCATGTATGGTCGAATAAAATGTTCACATATTCGAAACATGACTTGGCCAAGGATGGAAGGGATCACTAAAGAGCTAATAGAAAGTACATACGCGAGGGTATGATATTAATATCGGGAATATTTGTGAGCATATCACAGGACGGAAATATTTTGCACCCGGCTGTTTGTTGGCAGAACAACGATACGCTAAAGTTAATTGATCGAATACAGGGAAGTATTTATCTATCATCTCACTTGCGAACATCGAGGTTTTGGCGGAATTGTACGATCATGTTTACTTTCTTAAATAATAACTTTTTCAACAAATGTTCATTTTTCTTTTGCGTCTTTATTATATGTCGGGTTTTCATTTATTTCAAATTCGAAACTGTCCGAAATACTCCAACAGGTGTATAAGTACAATAATAATAGTACTTACCAGGGAAGTTTGATACACACGATGTGTAAAGGGCGTCGTAACTCCTGTTTATTAATTATAATTTTTTTTACATTCTGCTTAAAAAACAACGCACGTAACTCTCGCGACCAAATCTTTTTGTTTTGTATGGTATCGTCTTGGCGACAAATTTATTGCCGACTGAATTTTAATTGTGTTTTAGGATAAGTTATTTTCTGTTTGTTGGTTTCTAAACTTCACAAACTTGGGTAGCAATTACTATTAATGTGAGATTTGTGCATATAAACGATTGAATATCGCGACTGGATGTCCGATATCTGAGAATGCGTAATTCTCTTTCAACATTGATTTTCAGGATATCAGCGGTCGAATAAAAATTATATATCAAATGGATTGGTATTTCGAGACACTCTCAAAATTATTTGGGATCCACTATCATATCATTCGTTTATTTTTTATATTATGCGTTATGATGCGAATATTTGATACTAGGTCAGCAGCATTACAAAGAGTGCTATTTATGAATGCTGCAAGTACATGACATTACTAAACATTTTGGCAATATATGATGTTTCTGCCCGATTTAAACTAACTCGCACGCAAACCAAGGCATGTCGACTTTTCCAAAATTACTTGTCTTTGGCTAAGCTAAGCTCTAAAATAGTATAATATAAATGTAAATGAGAAATTAGGTCACGCTAGCTCACGAAACGGGAGGATTTTCAAAGTGATCTTGTGTAATATTTCGGAGAAAAAAGTTTGAAAGGAAAGTAGGTCAACATTTCTCCTAAAACAGGGGAGTATCTTGCGGTAATATTTCGGAGGGAACTTAGGTTAACCTATCTTTTAAAACAGTGGGTGGCGACTTTCAAAGAGGTTCAAAATTACAAATTAATTGAATTTCCAGCGCACCTAACCCTAATTAGTTGATTGCTATTTATATTTGGGGGGGGGGGGGGGGGGGGGGGGGGGGGGGGGTATTTTGCATGGGATTTGTACAAACGATCCACCCTGTAACTAATATGGTTTCCAGCCTGCCTCGTGTCTGTTAGATGGAAGGAGTAACAAATGTGAAGTCTTTGCTGTTTACGCGAGTAAGCAACTGACACCATGATACATTGCATTTTGTGGGGGCAGGTGTTAGCAGATGTCATTTCGTTGCCGATGAATTCGCTTGTTTTAATTAAACATGAATTCGCTTAAAGGGAACTCGGAAAAGGCTTTTCATTAATTCATAATATTAACCGGAGGAGCGCTTTTTCGAGTATCTATGCCGTTTTAAATGGGTTATATGAAAGGGTAGGGCACCTAACTTGTTAAAATCGGCAAAAGCACTTTCGCACTTTTTTTTTCGACTGCGAAGCACTTTCGCACTCATAATTTGCTTAGAGTTAACACTGGTGTTCACCCCCTATAGGGGGGGTGTAGGGAAATCACTGCATGGATATAAACAAAAACTTCGAGAAATTTCTTGGATTCGCTGATATATATTGTAAGCCGAACGAAGTGTGTTGTCTGGGGGAAAATTCTTTCAAAAGAATAAGTATAATCATTGCAAAAATAAAACTACGCGCCGATAAACCTGTAGAATATTTTTAACGTAAATTGAAGCGCCATCAGCACGAGTAAAGGTCATGAAAGTAATTACTACCGTGAATAAATCCTCTGCCTATGCTTTTCATGAAATAGCAAGTTTCCAGAAACTTAAGACCATATGCAAGCGCATTGTTATCATTAAGGCAATTAAATAGGATTCACTGATTTTTGAAACTGCTGAACTTTTTTTGTTTGTTATAATATCGCGAATATCTGCAGTTTTGGATTTTACGTAAACAGGAATCGCGGAAAAAAATTTGGAAACCACTGCAATACACCATCGTCGGACGGAGTGAGTTCTCAAACCAAATTCTTATTTACATTGGGAGGCTCTTTGCTTCGGAGCTCACTCAGTTGCAAAAGCTGTTGGCGCTCAAGAGCTTTTTCTACCAAAGCTAAGCGTCACAAATTATATATAGAATTAAATCCACCAAAAAAAATTTTCCGTGACAGTTTCTTTTCATGGCTTCTATTTCGGCGAATGAAATTAGGCAGCACTATCGTTAAGTGTGATTCCCGCATGCAAATTTCGAATCGAGGTTATCTCATGTCAACCCCTACGAATTTCTCACAAAGTTCAACTTGCCAATAATTTACTCCTCTAACCTCAATGGATAGATATATCATACATTTCCCTAGAAGCCAAGGTATAGACATTAGCAAATAACAAAATGTAACGGGCCATGTCCACAGTACATTTATCATGCCGCCCATTGAAAGCAATTTCTCAGCACTAATGACATAATATAAAGTTTGCCGGAACAACTGAAAGAATAGGCGTCATGTTATATACGTTTCACGATGACTGTCATTGTGTTTCATACTGCACCCCAGCCAAACATAAGAAAATCAGGCATTTGGTGTTTTTTTATTGTAATAAATTTATTACACTTCATGCCCACCTAAAGGAGATAAAGATGAACAGCCGTCCTTCACTTCATTCCTGTATAAAAAGAAATGAAATCAAATGATCTATCACGCTGTTAAATATAACCAACAATATTTAAAGAGTAATAAACTACCTCTGGAACTTCGATTTCACCATCGTTGATCTCTTCTATAACATCATGCGGTGGTTTGCCATCTACAGTGCAACCAACACTCTGAGCAGTTCCGAGGATCTCCTACAAACGTAATAAAAAAGCTAATATTTAAAAGCAGAAAACGTTAAAAAAGAAGTTTTCATAGCGCCATGGTCACTAAGTGCACATCCTCGAACTATTTCACTCCAGTGGGTGCATGATTTATGCAAATTAGCGCATCAGTCCACTTTCATTTGCCTCAGAAAAATAAAATAATGATGAAATTTTAAAAATCCAACCTTGACAGTTCCAACTAGCTGTCTTGCCATTGATCGCTCTCTCATAGTTCGTGCAACGTCGAGAATTTCTTCGAATGTCACGTTGCCACTGTGTTTGACTATTACAAAATTGAAATTTCACAACACTTTCAATTAATAATCATCAATTCATCATGATATATTGCAATAATAAAGATGCTTTGATATCGATGTCTGCTCACCGATGGCTTGAATTCCACCAATCGCTTACACGAAGGTGTGATAGGATGCCAACCCCAACCATGCTAACTTACTACATAATGTTTTAGGATGGCAGGCAAATGAACCAACAATTATATGATTCCGCATACAAAAACATTGAGCTGACACCACTTGAAGCTCAGCTTGAACATTTTGTTTGGTCGAGGCTTCATTCGAAAATATGTCAAATGCCGTCCATCACTATGACAATATGTAGTAACTCACTGTTTTTCACTTTCTTCCTGTCACGAGGAGGTTCTTTAAGTGCCTTTATGATGAGAGATGATGCAGATGTACAACGGAAACTGTAGCTTGGCCTGAAATAATCGAAAATATTCATTATGTTATAAATGGATAAAGGACTCCTTGCAAGTGAAATTAATAAATGGTGTCACAGAAGGTCAGATCGAAGCCGAATGAAGGGAAAATGAATGGCTCGCAATCAAACTTATGACTTGGTAATAAAACAGTGGAGCAATTTGAATTCTTACTAAACTTTGCTGGTATTGTAGCATGGTATGATTCGTCAAATTTCAGTCTCAAAGTGTGGTACGAGTTCTGGCAAAATCAGTGAAATCTTAGCAGTCATTGAGGAATTATTTTTAAGAACAAGAACACTTAAGATTCCCTTAAAAATACTAACGATAGCAGACAAATGTAAGGTAGTTCAAATTAAGAATCCTAACCTGTTTTGTATAGTGAGTTTAACAGTAATCCTAAGTCCCTTCCAATCTTGTGTTGCTTTAGCAATATCATCTCCCACTTTCTTGGGGCTGAGACCCAAAGGACCAATCTTTGGTGCAAGTGAAGCTGTGGCACCCACTTCACCACCTGTAGCTCTTAAGTGAACTGTAAAGTAAGGAAATTCATAAGAAGTGATTATTAAAAAGCAAAACACTGTAGACCACTAAACAATAGACCAGCGTAAAGTAACGAATATTAATGTAAATATCAGCTTTTTAGTGCCACCTGGGAAGCCAATTTTCCTCAAGGTTAGCATTACGCCGACTCAAAACTGTGACCACAAGAATGCGAGACTGATAAATAGTATAATAAATTTGTATCTCCGCTATTTTTTAAGGCAACCGAATGAAATTTGGGTCAATAAAATAATATTAAAAGAACTTAATGAAACAAAGCTTAAAAATTCTTTCCAATGAATCAAATAGCTTTTCGAATTAATTATGGTAAAAACATCTGCACATCAAAATATGGCTCGTTACGACTAGACTACTTCAGAATTTTATTCTGAAAATGATTATCGAGGACATCTACTAATTCAGAGTTGGGGTGGAAAATTTTAGTAGACAGTGATTATTTACGGCTGTCTGGGCAATAATTACAGAATTAAGATGTCTTCTTTAGACAAAGTTCATGAAAATTAGTAAGTTTCGAGTTAAAAAAGAAACGGGCACATAATTATAGATTTCATTGTGCATTTTGTTTTATTACATTCCTAGCTTGAAAACTCCAGAAATCTACATGTAACACAATCACTGAATCAGCAGTGCTATGGCAAATACATTTCTCGGTAACACTACAAAGCCTGACAGTCTGAAGGAGCCAATCAATAAGAGAGATGATCTAGAGCAGTGGTCACCAAAGTGTGGGTCGCGACCCCAAGTGGGGTCGGGTCGCCTTAAATATTTCTGGGGTCGCCAAGTGCCCATCGTTGTCTTTTCTTTTATTATGTGTGTGACTTCTCGGCTTAACGCTAGATACTTCAAACAAAAGAATAAATCACAACCACGCAGACAGGTAATATCAAGAGCAATTACGATAAATCAATTATGACATCATAATCACAAATTTAGCGTGTAGTCTGCACTGTTAAGTTGAATAACGCTACATAGGCTAGCAAATTTCGATATTTCGAATTGGAGCGACTTCTTTCATAATAAGGCTATTGCGTAACGACAGTAATTTATATTTTAAAGTAAATCGTTATTGTGTCTTAAATGTACTGTACAGTGGCCGTTGCTTTTACTGCAAAGCCTCATTTTCCAGGCTACCGTCATGAGGCGCAGTTCTTACCACTTCATGGCAGCTCCTGCCACGAACGTACCACGCCGTCTCCTGCCATGGTTTTATGGCGCTATTACCGGTATATTTACAAATTTATGTACCATATTTTAGTTTATCATGCGAAATTATATCTACTTAAACTCTAACCCTAACCCCAAATCCATCCAAACTGTATCCATAAGAAAAACATTCCAACTCACCAAATATTTATCACCATCAGCAGATTAGGGGCAGCCCTGCTATTACAGCCGACCTGCCGTGGTTACGGCAGTAAAATTGGTGGTATTCGATTTGCTGCCGTAACCACGGCAGCTCGCTATTGGTTTGTGGCAGCTAAAAAGTCAGTCGCCGTGGGTTTGGTCTTAGTGGCCGTGGTTTGGAAATCCCGCCATGGTTTTGCGGCAGCTGTAGACGCCACAAAATACTTGAAACTGCACTTGACCGTCATATTGATAATTACAATTTATTAAATGGCTGATAAACATAAAAGAAAAATATCGTATGATCAATCTGTTTGAAAGCTTGACTTTTAGTGCTATGAGTCTGCTAAAATCAAAGCACCGAAATCGATTAAACGTAAAACACGATTTGCGTTCGAGCTTAAGCAACATTAAGCCACGAATGCAAGATCTCGTTGGAAGGAAGCAGTCGCATTCTTCACACTGATTAAATATGGTTGTTGTTGGGTTCTTTTAATAAATTTCCGAATTTGATAAATATTTTTTTCGTATCTGTAGGTGAACATATATATATATATATAACTTGGGGTCGCGAGTGCTTATCATACGTAATAATATTGTAGATGGGGTCGTGTCTCAAAAAGTTTGAAGACCACTGATCTAGAGGTTAAAGCATCAGCCAGCTTCATTAATGTCTCAGCTTGTTACAATTAATGACTGCTTGTACAGACATTGTTCAAAGCCAAGCGTTTCGCAAAAATCAACCCAGAGCCTGGCTCTGAACTTGTCAGCCTTTAATAGATAGTGATCTCAACACCATCTCTCAACAACAGAGAAATATAAAGTGGGACCTTGCAGTAGCTTGACGATCATAAAAAACAGTTGAACCAATTCTTATGAAAAGCATAAAAGTAGCGTTGCTACTTTATATATCTCACTATTAAAGCCACTTACCTATTGTTATAGCATTGGGATCAAATTTTGGAGGCATCTTTATAATTTTGACGCAAAATATACGCCTGATTACTTTGGATACTGGTGTGGATGGCTAAAGTTTTAACCGACCTTTCGAAGTTGCACCTTCCCAGCTAGTACCGGCATAGAAAAGGATGAATTATCGTTGTAGCGAAAATATGTCAATTTCATAGCAGCAGTTGCCAGATTTTGTGAGCAAATCAAGGTTACCGGTATAGAGGATTTGCACGGGTCACGTGACTTTGTTTACTGGACGGCAAAAAAACAAAAACGTCTATTTGGCTCCTGTCAGTTGCAAGACGGATTATACGTTTCCGTTTTGTTTGGCTGTTGAAATGGTTATTTCGTATTGTTCCGTTGGCTGTACGTCAACGACTAACATACCGCTGTACGTATAGTATAGATATGGACAACGAAATGGATCTTCAGTTATATTCCACTGTTTTCAAAAGATCCGGAACGTCGCGCAATGTGGATATCATCTAGGATTTAGGATAAGATTTACATGTTCATCCCGGGGGGGTGGGGGGGGGGGGGGGAAGCCAATAAGACGGCTTATCCATATGGCGAACCACGGCCTCTCGTCCGGTTACCATTCCAAGTCGGGTATGGGATTAGTTATATTGTTTTCTTTCGGAAGCATGGACTTGGTGGTGGAGGAAGCCGTAACCGACCAGCCGTTACGTGAACCACCTAACGACGTCGAGGAGTCTAGCAATCTTCTCGCACATAACCATCCCTGCATGGGATTCGAACCTGCGAACCCACGCAGAGTAATTAGAGGTGCGGTGGCGAGCGTATTCCTAACGCTTAGCCCGTTGAGCCACACCGCCGCGCCAATCTATTGGCAGGACTGCTTGGTGTCAAGTCCAGAAATCATCTCGCTTGTGTTTCACTGTTTGCGGACAGCACTTCGTTGATGGTGAGTGATAATGTGCCGTTATCAATTATTTTAAATATTCATAAGCTCCCTCATTTCAATGGAAAGCAGATGACAAACTACTGTTATTGGTAGGCCTAGGCGTAGGCCTACTTGCTGGCTTGACTTGTGTAGGGAATTAATCATCAATTGCCATGAGGTATTGTTTCCCTAGTTAGCGGGTAATCTATTACTAAGTGTGAAAGGTTGAATAAATAACTAAAGTTTAACACCAGTGGTCATGCAAAAAAATAACCAGAATTCAATTGAATTCGCCATTTAGGAATACTCTCGCCACCGCATCTCTGATTACCCTGGTAGTTTCACAGGTTCCAATCCCATGCGGGGATAGTTATGTGCAAGAGGATTGCAGCTCTGCTCCCACTGAGGGTGGTTCACACGACCGCTGATCGGTTACGACCATCCCCCACCATCCAAGTCCATGCTTCTGAAAACAAATAACTGGCTAACTAATCCCAACATAGAATGGTAATCGTATGAGAGACTGTGGTTCGCCATATGATTTAGTTATTGCACCTGCAATCCTCCCCCCAGATAAATCCTATCCTAAAGTTGCTTGTACAACTAATAACTAGTCCGGCAGAATCGGCCTTAACATTGTTTTGGGACATAACGTTTTTTTTTATTGTTTAGATATAATGTATATGACATATATAATGATACCCAGGTGGGTGTGGAGTATATAATGTTGAGCAATTCTTTTTAAGAGGATTTATTGAAGTATTCGATCCAAGATGACGCACATCCTGAACCCTAACCTGGTAAACATACAATTTTCAGGTTGTGCGCCATCTTGGTACGAATACTTCAGGAGCGCCTTTTCGTTAAAAACTATTATTTCATGGATTGCATACATAGTAACATTGAAACTCCTTACAATGTCAGAAATTCAATTTTAGTAGAATAAATGGTAGTTTATTTCACTAATACAAGCCAACATCTATCGACATCTAGCCACTTTCTATTGCGCTCTTCAAACTACATTTGCGTTGCCGCGCGCATTTCGTTTTCCTAGTTTAAGCTTAGGTACTTGGGAAATATTTTATTAGTTGAATTGGATTGGAATATTTGACCCCGTCTTTCACTCTGAACAAGGCCATGTAAAACCATCCACTAAAGATGTGTAACGTGTTTTCTTTTGGAAGAACCGCAACCTTTCAGTGCTGCATTGACTTTGGCAAATTTAATATATCCTTGTGGAGATAGAAGGTATGCGTATGCGAAACCGAGATGTGCACCTGTTATGCCAACATAGTTGAGTCAAACGTTTTGAATACTAGTACATCACACACATTTTCCTGCGTGCTTTGTTTGTACGTAGTAACGCGCACATTTTTGCGCACATGCATCAAATTCCACTTGATTATTGAGCTATAGGTTTTTGCCGAGCTTTTGTGTATGATTTCATTCTATAGAACAGTGTTTCCCAACCCGAGTCCGCGGTCTCAAATGAGTCCGCGGAGCGTTTGAATGAGTCCGCAACGAGCCATAAATTCACTGCGGGAGCAAACGTTTTTGCGAAACCTAACCATCAGCCACGATTTACCTTAGAATTTACATAAAATATAAAAAGCAAATTCATTTATATAAGATTAATTGAGTCAATAATTTCTGGATACTGAATGAGTAAGGCTTGGCATATATTCGAATATTCAATTATTAGAATAGCAATTTATTATTCGAAAGTTTGGTAACAAGTGACGCGACAGGTCACCATCGCGTCGTTTAATCAAACGATTGGATTTAGTCGTTGTTGTTCGAGGAATAATTTTTCTGGTAGGTGTCAATGGTGGCAACCTAAATTTTCTAAATTGAAAAGCGGCAATACAAAATACTGAAAATAAAACTGAAAAAAACACCATAAGTTTTTTAAAAATGCTTTTTCAGACATGTTGCAAATTCCAATATTTCGGGTGCTACCGTAGTATTCGTATCAGGGCATTTCCCTCAGACTTCTTTGCTTTACTGCAGGGTCCGCAACCTACGGCTCGCGGGCAATATAATCAGGCCCGCGACGCTCTTCTGAATTATAGTAACAAAACAGCTGTTTTTACGATTATATTCTTTACGTGACAGAATTTATTTTGCGGCACGTTTAGACTAAATTATATCATAACCTAACAAGTATATAATTCACAATTACTCGTTGAATGAGTCTATAATTTAATTATAATTAGGCATTCAATGACAACGAAACGCAGAAAACTTGAACGCTAAGTGCAATTGGTTCAATATCCAAATGGTCAGTCTTCGGGACCTCAAAATTTAACTTCTGATCTGCATGAAAAAATGTGATTCATTGGCCATACGCCCGGCTTTCAACTTTCTAAAAATATGCGCGGCCCGCCAATGACTTGCAGCCTTTAATTTTGGCCTGCGAGCGGCAAAATGTTGCCGACTCCAGCTTCACTGTTGTACGAACAGCTCATATTTGTCGAATTCACAAAAATACGAATCGCAAAGTAAAATGATCACAATTAAATTAATATTAAAGCAAGGCGATGAATATTTTTTTGTTTTTATTTACTAATATACTAATTATATTTTTAATAAGTACTAAATCAAGTTGTACTTTCTAGAAATTTATAGAGGATAGTAGGATTTTCTAACGGCGATAACAAATTCACAAGATCGCAAATAATTTATATCAAAACTAAATATAACCGGGCAATTTAATCTCACATTATTATGTTCGCAGATTGCCGTGGCATTTAAAAGAAGTAATGCTTTCATCTTGTCACAAGTCAACGCAACCACCAGTGACACAATGACCATGTGACACAGTGACCATGAACACAATTAAATTAAAATAGGAACACATTTTAAATTCTTGTCGTTGTCAAGGATTGAGTATTGTGCGACAGAAAAGGCCATTTATACACTAAAGAAGTCGGCCCTTTTAACAAAGGCGTAATTGCGTAGCATTTCCGATTTTGAAGTTCGGAAAATTTCTGTTGTGTTTGGTTTTATTATTTCTTCACACAGAGTACGGATGCAATGAACTCACGTTGAGTCCGCAAAGGTTTTCGCAAGTGAGAAAATAGTCCGCGACCAAAAAAGGTTGGGAAACGCTGCTATAGAATTTGTATGCTGTTCTAAAGAATACTAGTTTCAGCTTTTTCATTCATTCAAACCGCGTGTTGAAAGTAAGTTTTGTAATATTGCGTGATGGTTTCCAACATCCTTAAATCGGTGATGCCAGTAAATCTTTGATTCAAAAGACCAGTAACATCTGCAATAAAAACAGCAGTACCCACTCAAATGACAGCTGGGGGATGGATACTCTTAGTATCTGCTCCATAGCGTGCCTCTTACAGTCCTATCAGTTTACATGAGTGCCAATTGGTATCTAAGCTCAGCCAGAGACAAAAAGTTTCGGACTGCAGTTGGCGTGACGAAATGTTGAAATAAATATATATTCTACAATAAGATTATTTGATTACATACTACTGAAAGTTCCGCCTTATATGTCTTTTCCCATTGCACTATTACTTTACTGATATTCGATAATATGACGCTCATCTGACATAGTTCTTAAAGTGTGTAGATGGGTATAATCTTTTCCACGCTGTTCAGATGGGAATGCGCGAATAAGAATTGCTAATATTGGTTTGCAATGCGATGAAATCCCATCTTGGCATTTCTGCCTCTAGCAATTGCTGCGTATATACTTATCGGGGAAGTTCTGTGGCGTGGTTTTCAAATGAAAAAAAACATGGGAGTATTTTTTCTACTTCTCTACTACTATCAAACCTTGACATTTTGTGTAAATTTTTTTCCATGCTACCTTTTTTTAAAACATACCCAACAACCACAATTAATTCTGTTATTAAACTTCCGAAACAAACATATAAAATCATCAACATATGCATATCACCAAGTAGATATTGCTGAATTGATCTTTATTTTACCATTTTTCATGTAATTATTTTTGGTAAACCTGTTATCTATCGTAAATACAGCACATTTGACAATGTTGTACTTTTAATGTGACTTTTCTGGCCTCACATTTTTGATATTTGTAGTTAGAGCTCTTGGGCTCTGTCAAACAAAGTTACATACAAAATATTGGTTGTAAATTGCAAAACATGATCATGTTGTTGGAATAACTTGGCATTTTACCACCCGTATATCATTGACAATATTAATAAAATCATAAAATTTAAAAATCCATACTCGTGAAATTTTTGTTGTAGCTGAATTCCAGGGACAGCATGACAACAGGCAAGAGAAGCACGGTCGCCTCTTTTAGTTTATGACAGGGTTTCTTAAAAGGGGACCCCGTCCTCCTTGGAGGCCGCTGATCGTTTATCTGGGAGCACGAACAAACAGATGGAAATGCGAATATATAATAACAATATATTTTTATAGAAGAGAAGAAGCAAAAGTGTTGAGTGTCTTTGGTAGTTTGAAAAGCATTGGCATGGAACATAAGAATGAACTACATTCTTTCCCAGGGATATACTATAAAATGTAGCAAGTTTCTCATTCTTGTTCTCGTGATATCATTATCTTTCACTGCGTCGTCGTGATCATCCCGCTGCATAACAATTCTCGCTAACAAATAATTGACTGTTCTCCACGGGTGTATATCCACTTGAACCACTGGCGACTGGATTAGCAGGCTTGTATTGTTAATTGCAACAAAAACGGGTATTTTGAAATAGTACTATTTATTTTACGCGTATGTTTCGACAGTATTTTCGTATACTGTATATGGGTCGGGACCCAAAGCTGGGCTCAACAAATACCTAAAAGTTATTGATTTTATTTCCTAGTAAATTTGGTGCTTGCGTAGTTTGTGCACCAAGATTGCGCACGACCTGAACATAGTATTGTAACAGGTTATGGTTCAGGTTGTGCGTCATTATGATGCACAGGTTTGACGAAAAACACTAATACAAATATCGAGCCGTAAAATAAATTGCTCAAGGCTGCAAACTCCACACCCATGTAGAAATGATGGGCAATGACCCCAAGATGAACAATCACAAATAAAAAAAACTTTATGTCTGAAATCAAAATTGGGCCAAAAAGGTCCCCTTATTTGCCGGACTATAACCCAAAATGTCTTTTTATTGTCATTGGTAAAAAAGATATGCTACCCGGAATCAAATTTATTTACGACTAGTCTTTGTGGTGGGATATGGACATAAATTTCACACCACCTGATCGTTAGATTTTATGAAAACTCTACAATTAATACAAAGCTAGTGCAGAATCATGATATCGAATGAATCTGTATCCATTATCTTACAGATATGGGTGCGACCATGGAATAGATGGATGGCAAGATCTAAGTTGCAACAAGACCATAGTGGCACAAGACCTCAGCTTGCGTGACTTGATAATACATCCTCAGTATCCATTTATTGATGCTTATCGAAATGACAAAGTAACTTGTGATTGCTGTGGATTGGTGGAGATAAAGTGTTCATTGTGCTTGAACGAAAGCAACTTCAATACGACCCTATCAAGAATTTTTTTTATGTTTTGGTGGGTCTGATAGTGAGGGTTTCAGTCTAAAGTTGGACAACGATACTACAACCAAATACAGTTGCCAATGGAACTTGGCGAGGCGTAATATTGCGACTTTGTGATCTGAAAAAAAATTCTGATGGGTAGCCGGCTAGCCGCAACCTTTTGTTTAAAGAATATTATGAGATATGACTTAAGAGTCCAAACTTTTATTTGAGAGGGGTGTAAGTAACACAAGCTAATTTGCAAATGGTATTCATGGTACCAAGTGCATCACACACTTTACAGTAATTATAAATCATATTTAAAAAATAAAGCACATCAAAAATGTATTTTTAAAAAACAATTGGTTTTATCTGCAGATACCAGGTTTATATTAAGATTGACCATTTCAATGCTAAATTTTCCTTAGTCAAAAGGCACACTTGATTCTCAAAGATTTGTGAATGCGCACAGTGGCCTACACCAATTTGTCTAATGTTTTGATTCCGTATGCAGGAGGTTGTGGATCGGTGGTGCTCAAGATGGAATATTTTTGCTTATAAATGCATATTACGTGTTTCACATGAATCCATCGTGCACAGATTCGACTGTTTTCAAGGTCTGAAGGCTCCAACTGCTTAATTTTATCGGTACACAAGAGAATTTTCAGTGTGTCATGCATGGGTCAGTTGGAGTCACTAACATCTAGATATCTATAAGCAAGGATAAGATAACCTGGAAGTAACATTCCATAATTTAGAGTAAAAAATGTAACTGCCTTCACAGCCCTTTCAAATGGAAGATATGATGCCTTAGGGGTCATTTCTATCAAATATTTTACAGTGTTATGGTTCTAGTCTAGTGAAAATGGGTATAGACGGCTTCTTTTAAAGTGTGGTAGGTCTAGTCGAAAGACACATTACATGTTTATGCTAACAACTGCAAAGTGATATTGCAACGCATACAAGTAAACAGAATTTGTTGAAATGGTCCTGCCTTTTGTCTTTCTCTGAAATCCCCCTTTACCTCTCTGGGGATGGCGAAAATTCAAATATTGATGGGACATAAGCAGCTGATAATGGGTTATTTTTCCATTTTCCTACAAAGAAATTAAACACTAATCATCATTTGACAGTGCCAAGTTTGTGAATCAGATCAGTAATAGATTACCTGCTAACTAACGAAACAATCAGACAACACCTTCTGACCATTAAGGAAGATTTCTTTCAATTTAAAACGCAAATATGCCTACCAATGTCGGTAGTTTTTAGGAGAGGATTTATCTGGGGAGAGGGATTGCAAGATGCAACATCGTACGATTACCATTCTATGTCGGGATTAGTTAGCAAGTTATTTGTTTTCGGAAGCATGGACTTGATGGTGGGGGATGTCGGGATCGACAAGCGGTCGTGTGAACCATCCTCAATGGGAGGAGAGCTGCAATCCTCTCGCACATAACTATCCCCGCATGGGATTGGAACCTGTGAAACTACCAGGATGATCGGAGATGCGGTGGCGAGCGTATTCCTAGATGGCAAATTCAATTGAATTCTGGGTTTTTTCTTGCATGATCACTGGCGTTAAACGTAGTAATATATATTTACGGTTAAACTTTAGTTATCTATTCAACTTTTCACACTTACTAATAGATTACCTGCTAACTAGGGAAACAATACCTTATGGCAATTGATGATTAATTCCTTACACAAGTCAAGTCAGCAAGTAGGTCTACGCTTAGTCCTACCAATAACAGTAGTTTGTCATCTGCTTTCCATTGAAATTAGGAAGCTCTTGAATATTTAAAAAAAATTGATAACGGCACATTTTCACTCACCATCAACGAAGTGCTGTCCGCAAACAGTGAAAATTCAAGCGAGATGACTTCTGGACTTGACACCAAGCAGTCTGCCAATAGAGTGATATCGAGATTTACGGCGCATCTGAAACATTATGTTTAAAACGTGGCGCATGGTATGTGAAAGGTTGGCCACCCTTGCTTTATACCATACGTACAGCCAACGGAACAATACGAAATAACCATTTTCAACAGCCAAACAAAACGGAAACGTATAATCCGACTTGTAACTGACAGGAGCCAAATGGACGTTTTTGTTTTTTTGCCGTCCAGTAAACAAAGTCACGTGACCCGTGCAAGTCCTCTTATGGATCTTATGAACCTTTCTCCGAGCATCGACTTCCTTGTATACTTAGTGAAACTGGCCAATCAGCAAGATGCAAAAAGTGACGTAACAATGCTCTTTTTCGCATCCGCTCAGACTTTTCTCACTCAGACAGATTTTCGGGCGCGGTCGTAAACATTACCTCGTTTTCGCGTTTTTAAAATCTATTCGTTAGTTTTGGTTGTGTTTCGGAAATTTAAATATAAATCAGATCATAGCCATTATATAATGGATGTTTGATAAGAGTGGAATTAATAGTCCGACTAATAGGCAATGTTTTAACCGCTGAATGATCACGCTTTTCACTTTTGAAGTTCCGAAAGCGTTTTGTAATATCTCACAAGTGTATAAACCTGAAATTTCTACAAGCGTGTTTTAGTCATAATAGTGAACAATGTTACATGAGTATTATCGTACTCGGACAACAAAATAAACAATTCTTAAACAAAAATATCAAGCGTGTTGTAGTTATTCCCTAACGGTTTTAATTTTTAAGGTTAATTCATATCAAATTACAACCAAAAATGCGTCTATCTGTGACCTTGTTCATGTTCTTTCCTATTTAAATTTCATGCTCGTGTGTCATTTTAATATTTTGTTGCTGGTGCGCAAGGCCATATTATTTGATGTTACCGGTCCGCTGAGGTGAAAGGTTGGGAAACACTGATTTAAACAGCTAAAATTCACTTTGTCAATCTCTTATTGCCAGTCAACAGTGTTTACCTATTACTAGGCAACAGTGCAATCACGTCCGTTTACCGGAAATAACTTTTTCATATATATTGGTAACGAAAATGGCTGGGGAAACGTTTTTGAACCAATTGTTGTTGAAGCAAGATACCCATAATACCAGACTCATTTGCATCAATTCGAAACAAATTTATTTTAAATTTTGAAATTCCTAATACAACCGACAAAGTTTATCATTCAGTAAATTGTCCACTCTATTCAAAGCATGAAACAGATGGCATGCATGAAATATTGAGAAAGCTTGATTTCGTAATATTTTCAAATATATTAGAATTAGATAAATGCATTGAATTTTCAAAATGCTAATTATTTGAGAGAAACTGCAGGCAATCTCGGCTAATTGCGAGGTTTCAGGATGTGAGTGAATGACTCATCCACTAGCATTTTGAAAAGTTCTATTTTGCTATCGCATGCCAGTTATGCCCATAGCCAATTATAATTATATAGGCGTGCGTCAAGATACTACCCAAGCATGTTTGAGGAAAACATAATCATCTGTTAAGACCTAAATCATCGACTTTCGGCGCTAACGATAGGTGAATAAAAGACATCAACTAATCGTTACTTGCTACTAGTGAATGTACAACATTGAAGATTGCAAATGATATTCCGGAGAAAAATCTTGGACGTACTTGTCCTGTGCATGTTTGTCCGTGGAACAACTGGCCTGTCAATAAAGGAGTTGGGTATTTTTGAAGTAAATGGGATAAAATTTGCCTTCGATAACGACAACCTCATATTAACCAGCAGTAATGGAACTCCTCCTATATTGAAAGGTACGACTACGACTACTGAACTCAAATTTGTATTACTCGCTAACGGAATATGTTCCACTCGAATAAGCTATTGTTAATTTCTATGACATAATTATTCTTCGATTCGCAAATTTATTGCCTAATTATCTATTGCGTTACCTGGGTTTAAGACTACATAAGGAACATGACACAACTTTGTTTGCATTCAGGCATTCACTACGAGTCGCTTTCTTTTGCCTGATGGTTTTGTGTTTAGTCACTGAAGTTTGTATTCATGCTATGTTTATGTTATTTCGGGGATGCTGGGAGTTCGAGAGAACTTGTTTTCGACTTTTACATATTTGCAGGTGGTGTACATAACTCAAAGTACGTTTAAAATAATATATATACACGCTGTACTTCTGCCTTTATTTTATTTGTTTACTATAAATTAGCGCTTGTGTCGTAAAGCTTTGGTATTCTTGTACAGAATCCATTATGATATGGTCATATTTCGCATATTTGTCTGGAGTGAAAATTGAAAAAAAAATCAGAACTTTTCCCAAACACACCGTGCAATATAAATGTGGGCTTGTAGTTTTAATAATTCAAATAGCACATAGTTAATTGGCAAAGCAATCTTATATGTAAAGGGTCGAGGGATAGGACTATTTGTTCTTATGACTATTGTAACTAACTATCAAAGAAGGCTGGAAGGTAGCCATTTCTTATAAATACTCATACCAGTGCCAACAATGGATAGCACAAATTATTAGTGCTTGGTGATAAAGAGAATATCGGGAGCAATGCTATTGTGACACTAGTGATGCCGGCGATATAACGTAGTATTCTTGTGCACTTTGCGCAGTATTTCGGTTCCATCATAGATATTCTTTTCTTCTAATTCTTGGTACAGAATTGAAAGGATCACAGAAATAGAATAAATTGTCATTGAACTTCTATCTATTCTTACAAAACAAAATCGTCGCTTAGAGTGACAATGTCGACCGGTTTGCTCATTTCAAACCTGATTTCGATCCAAACAGTTGATTCTGTGTAATTAGGACTTTTAAATTGAGATCTTTATATTTAAAATCGTTTTTGAGATATGAATAATCTAGATACTTTAAAACACTTTGTTTTGTCAATATCAAAAGTAGCAAACAGCTTTTTCCTTGTTTCAGGGATTGTGTTTAACAACATCAAACCGGTTTCAGTCAAAATAGAAGTTCCGTTTCAACCATCGGTTATTCCTGTAAATCCGAAGATATGTCTTCCACCTGGAATTATTGGATTGACAATCACTGGAATCCCCATTTACAACCCTTACACATCTGACTGTTGCAATGCGGGTAGAGATAATGAATTGCTGTTCTATAATAGTATATAAACAATAATACAAAGAAATAAAATTACCTGGTCGAGATTATTGATCGATGTTTGCCATTTTGCCCATAAACTTTATTTCGATGACGTGAACTCCGAATTAGTGAATAATAAGAAAACTGCAATGGAAAGTGATATGATATGATAAAATTATGATTCATCTTTTATTTGAATTGCGAAGGAAGTGATTCCACTCTCGTACGTCCTAGCATTAGTTATTCATATGATATAATAATTGGTACATCGTGTTGACATACGTAAATTTATATAACATATATGCCACCAAGCTTATCTTACTCAATAAAGTACTTGGAAGTTCTCTGTTTATATATATTATAAATTTTCATATTTCGGCGAGTGTTTGAAACTATTTAACATGATGATGAAGTTTTAAATTTACATGTTAGCCTTGGTTGAAAAAAATAAACTTGACGGTTGCTGGGGAAATATGGATGAGAACAATCAGTATTATTACAACACTCCTCCATTATGTACCTTCAAGAATGTCTGTAATGAAAGTCAACTAATAGGTAAAAATTAAATAACAATTCAGATTAATATTCAGTGTAAAATGCAGAATAAAACTATTTGATCCATTGTGTTTACTTCTATTGTTCTATAGTAGTTGAAGGGTGGAACTGTCTTCTGTTCCCAGAGCATTTTGAATCTTGCTGGAATTTATAATTGTGATCATTTGTGGCACTTTTCCCGGTCTTCCATATTTTTGTTAGTTTGTATATATTTCTAAATCCATAAATTTCAAGATCTCAAGCTTTTCACTTTAATATTATTGTTAAACATAATGTCTTAAGTTATAAAATAGTTTATCTTGAACATTGACTGTATGCTTTTCTATCTCAGGTCCAATTCGATTTTTTTTGAAATGATAATCTCACACCTTAACAAAATGGTTTGTGCCACTCGTTCCACGCGCATGCAGGTTGCCGATTTAAAACACGAAGTTAAGCTATATTAATAGATTTTCTTTCAACTTTGTTTTAGGTGTGGCATTAGACGGTTTCCCTATATATGGGCCTTTTGATGAGCAAGGCGTTTCCGTCGATTCTAGTTCACTGGACGAATGTAATGGGCGAGAAGATGCAAGACGAGGTTACAGGTACATATGAAGTATTCCTAGAAAAATACACTGCGTATTTTTCTTTCACCTTGGAATTTTGTAATCATATTTATTTCTCTGCAATAGGTATCACATAGTTAACAAGTTTCCATACACGATCGGGTGCTTCAGAGGACCTCCAACGACGCCAACCGCTTGTGGATGCGGAACGCTCGCTCCCACTTGTAGTGATAAACCTGATACACAAATAGTCAAAATGTCGTGTTGTGCCAACGAAGCTTCCTGTAATTATATATTAAACGAAGATTACTCATCTGTACATAGTGTCACGTATGGCCGGAAATTGTGCTCGATTATTTATATAATCTTGATACAACTATGTTTCATCAGCGTTTCGCACTTTCAATGACCAGGACCTATTCTATAGCATGAAAAGTATATAGTTTTTCCATTCTCCACTATCGACAATGCCGCCTAGTTTGAATTTATGAGTGTCTTTTAAAATATCTACGCGGAAGATCAAAAAGTGGCATGCACAAACAATTTTCAATCTAGTTCTCATGGGAATGGGGCCACCACCCACTAGGGCACAAATTGGCATTTTATTCTAGTTTTTGTCAAACTGCACTTTGTTTGTCGGACAGCTTGGCAATGTTCAGTTTGTTTGAATATTTCACTTTCTTTCGATATATATTATAAAAAGTTGAAATTTTGTGAATCGTTGTTTAAAAATTTGAGGACTTAATATTTTCGAGTGGAAGCTTGACAATAAAATTTTTGTATTTTACTAATATACAGAGTGTCGATTCGCTGATTAATCTGTCTTAATCTGTCAAGTATGGCAGTGTCGTAAAGTTGGGATGTCGGTCTTGTAGAATGGCGTAGTACCCGTAGCAAAATGATACAGGAACCACACAGTTGATGATTGATGTTGAGATATAGCGTTTATCCCGACAACGGGAATGTCGGTAATTAATAATCATATGGCGAACCTTGGCTTCTCGCCGACTTATATCTCCGGATTGAGTATTGCCCAACCTCTTTTCACGGCTTACGTTTATACATTTGGAATGTTTGCCTTACTTTTTAGGACAGGAGCATGATGCGGTATATACAATCTAATACTGATGTATTCTATCTAAATCCGATCGCCCTAACAAATCGAAAATACAAATACTTAACGAAAAAATATTTCTTGGACATTGGCACCAAAATTTCAGATTGAGCTACCGCGCGAAAATATAAAGCCCCCAATCTTTATAAATCAATTCACAAATAGTTAACTAAAAGTAAGATCACATATAAACGTACGAACTTTGCCACGCTGTGCAACAAACCAGACGCGATTGGGTCAAAACAACTAAAAATTTAAAGTTATAGTCCCCATGGAATGGATTTTTTTGTGACTCAATTCGCAATTTATTATTTCATTGAAGAGATTGTGATGAAACAGAGGCAAAATAAAATTATATATCTGACTTTATATATTTACCTTTTGCCTATTTCGCGTTTCTGGCGGTGCGAAATTCAACTAATTCCAGGTTTGACCTCACGTCTTATATACTGGTGCAGTCATAAGTAACCAAATTTGGATCGGTGTTTATGCAAATAATACGTCTAAGCCCCGAAAAATCCACCATTTCTTCTTCCCACCTTTTAACCTATTCAAAATTAGGTTAGCTATTAGGTTATTAGACACGTTAGTGGACATAACGATCGTTTTGGTATTTTTGTTGTTCTTGTTGGACACGTAGTGGACATAACGATCGTTTCAATATTATGTTGTTGTTCTTGTTCTTGTTCTTGTTCTTTGACACGTTTTTAAAAAGTCGCTTTTCTCTTTGATCACTGGACTAATTGCTTTGAAATTTTCAGTGGTTGAAGATGAAATTTTTCCCCAGAAGGCTATTACTTTTATTTATTTCAAATATTTCTGTTAGCTCTGTAAGATTTGTTTTTGTTTGCTATGACGTCACTAAACGTTCTGCGGATATCGGACGCCATTTTGTGTCCAACGGACCATCTTGCAATTTCAATTCACGCTGTCACAAGACAGGAGTTCTGGTACCGTAACACAGCGCGGTGACACTGAACTAACTCGTAGCTGTCAAAAGCTTGAAAATCCATACAAATATGAGAAATAAAAAGATGAAACTTGGCAGGTGGGTAGAGTTGTGTTTCTTTTAACCATATTTGAAAGTTTCGCGTTTCTACATTTGAAGGAGGGGGAATAGGGGGTGTGCATTTCCGATACGTCGATAATATCTTTGTCAACCAATTTACGGCCACCGTGTTTTCGTCTGTTTGATTGCTGTGATGTGGTGCTTTGTTTATAATTTAACGAGTTTTGTTCGAAATAACCGTGTTCTTGAAATATATGACGGTCAGAAATGCAATTAGAAGCCCAATGTTTTCACGCTGTCACAAGACCAACAATTGTCAACCAATTTGCGACCACCGTGTTTTGTCTGTTTGATTGCTGTGTATGGCTGCGTATGCGATAGTCTCGACGCAGCATAAACGATGATCAAGGCTTGAAATCCGTGGTCGCACACTGGTCGTCTTTAACGCAAATACGTCTTTCGAGTGCCGTACTTTGGGGATTTGTATAGCTTCAACCCTTTGTCGTAGAAAGTTAATACGAGGTTTAACGTGTAGAATAAATGCCGCCAATGCACCCACGGTGAAATAATTAACGGGTTAGATATATTGGTTTTTGTTTTATAGCGGTTTGAATGAAATTGTCCGCAGACTGGCTACACCACCCTAGGCCTGGTGAGTTGTCCGTGTAGTCGAATTGTCCATCAGCCCTAAACGGCTATGACAGTCACTGTACCAAAAATTGTACCCCGATTCGGCTGGTGTTAAGTTGACGCATGTTATTTAGTAACGTTTTTATCTGAAATGTTTGACTGTGGTTCGGTACCTGATCCGATAATACGGTACATAATTGACTCATATCACGAAATATTTCAACTGATGTTTCAATTGTCACAGGACCTAAAATATCTATGACAGTCCCTGTACCGTCACGGTACCCCGATACAGGTACTGGTAAGTCACCGCCGGTATGTTAGTCGTTGGTCACCGCATATGATTTTTGGGGAATTGTTCTGCGTGTCCATATATTTGAGCATTGCTCTCTTGTTGGACACGTAGTGGACATAACGATCGTTTCAATATTATGTTGTTGTTGTTGTTCTTGTTCTTGTTCTTGTTCTTGTTCTTTGACACGTTTTTAAAAAGTCGCTTTTCTCATCGAATACTGGACCAATTGCTTTGAAATTTTCAGTGGTTAAAGATTAATTTTTTCGCTAGAAGGCTATTACTTTTGTTTATTCTCAAATTTTATATGAATCCTATGAGATATGATATTTCATACAAAATTTCGTGGTATTTATTTTTACTCATGGGAACACTGTTTTACACTTATTTCAAGCGGTTTCGCGATCGATTGTCTTGCTCAGTACTACAGCTACTGTAGGTCGGTACTGGTAAGTTGCCATACCGGTAGGTACCGTAACGCAGTGAAATTGACTTATTCCTTCCGCGGTATTACTAATGCTGCAATGCAAGTTTTATAGCCTATCGTATGCGGAACGGAATATCAGACCTACAGGTTCGGTACTGGTAGCTCAGTACGTAAGTACGAAACTGGTACTGGTGCCGGTGTCTTACCACAATGAAATTACCGTAACTTATTCTTTCACGGTCCTACCAGTGCAGTAATGCAGTAATGCAAGCGTTGTAGCACTTGTAGCCTACTATATTTGTTTATTTTGATGAGAGTCTACTGGAAACAACATACAATTTGAAAGGGAAGAATTGTTGTGATCAATTATCTGTCCTAAAGTGTAAACAACATAAAATTTGCAAGGGAACAACTGTTCTGTGATCAATTACCGTATATGGCCTACAGTGTACAGGTAAGATGCTGGCTGACTGCTAACCGGTACTGGTAGCTCAGTACGTAAGTACGGTACTGGTGCCGGTACCGGTGTCTTACCACAATGAAATTACCGTAACTTATTCTTTCACGGTCCTACCAGTGCAGTAATGCAAGCGTTGTAGCACTTGTAGCCTACTATATTTGTTTATTTTGATGAGAGTCTACTGGAAACAACATAAAATTTGAAAGGGAAGAATTGTTCTGTGATCAATTATCTGTCCTAAAGTGTAAACAACATAAAATTTGCAAGGGAACAACTGTTCTGTGATCAATTACCGTATATGGCCTACAGTGAACAGGTAAGATGCTGCCTGACTGCTAACTCAGTACCGCTTTTAAAAAGTCGCTTTTCTCTTCGAATACTGGACCAATTGCTTTGAAATTTTTAGTGGTTAAAGATAAAAATTTTCTCCAGAAGGCTATTACTTTTTTTTCGCTATGACGTCATCAAAATTATGTGACTCTACGTGTCCATATATTTGAGCATAGCTCTCTTGTTCTTATTTGTCTTCTTCTTGGTATCGTTATAAAAAAATCGCTTTTCTCGTTGATTACTGGACCAATTGCTTTGAAATTTTCAGTGAGTAAAGATTATATTTTTCCCCAGAAGGCTATTACTTTTATTTATTTTTAAATTTTATATGAATCCTATGACATATGATATTTCATACAAAATTTCGCGGTATTTATTTTTACTCATGGGAACACTGTTTTACACTTATTTCAAGCGGTTTCGCGATCGATTGTCTTGCTCAGTACTACAGCTACTGTAGGTCGGTACTGGTAAGTTGCCATACCGGTGCCGTAACGCAGTGAAATTGACTTATTCCTTCCGCGGTATTACTAATGCTGCAATGCAAGTTTTATAGCCTATCGTATGCGGAACGGAATATCAGACCTACAGGTTCGGTACCGGTACTGGTAGCTCAGTACGTAAGTACGATACTGGTACTGGTGCCGGTACCGGTGTCTTACCACAATGAAATTACCGTAACTTATTCTTTCACGGTCCTACCAGTGCAGTAATGCAAGCGTTGTAGCACTTGTAGCCTACTATATTTGTTTATTTTGATGAGAGTCTACTGGAAACAACATAAAATTTGAAAGGGAAGAATTGTTCTGTGATCAATTATCTGTCCTAAAGTGTAAACAACATAAAATTTGCAAGGAAACAACTGTTCTGTGATCAATTACCGTATATGGCCTACAGTGTACAGGTAAGATGCTGGCTGACTGCTAACCGGTACTGGTAGCTCAGTACGTAAGTACGATACTGGTACTGGTGCCGGTACCGGTGTCTTACCACAATGAAATTACCGTAACTTATTCTTTCACGGTCCTACCAGTGCAGTAATGCAAGCGTTGTAGCACTTGTAGCCTACTATATTTGTTTATTTTGATGAGAGTCTACTGGAAACAACATAAAATTTGAAAGGGAAGAATTGTTCTGTGATCAATTATCTGTCCCAAAGTGTAAACAACATAAAATTTGCAAGGGATTAACTGTTCTGTGATCAATTACCGTATATGGCCTACAGTGTACAGGTAAGATGCTGGCTGACTGCTAACTCAGTACCGCACCTACGTTAGGTACCGGTACCGCCGTGAATTCAGCTATCATCTCTTTGTTGGACACGTAGTGGACATAACGATCGTTTCAATATTATGTTGTTGTTCTTGTTCTTTGACACGTTTTTAAAAAGTCGCTTTACTCTTCGAATACTGAAATTTTCAGTGGTTAAAGATAAAAATTTTCTCCAGAAGGCTATTACTTTTTTTTTCGCTATGACGTCATCAAAATTATGTGACTCTACGTGTCCATATATTTGAGCATAGCTCTCTTGTTACCTAATATCAATGTTTCTTTCAAACGGAAGCCGGAATTTATCACGAGTTATATCGGAGAGAGATGCAAGGAGCAAAGCTTCATAACATAAATAAATTCCTCATAGCAATAAAAGTAAACATCAGTCAGTTTGTAGCGACGTAAATTGAACGCACTATCACTATGAACAACAAACACTACTATTGTGCTATTTTCTCGTACCATAATTTTGGTGTTAATCAGTATCACGAAAGCCATTTATGTATTATAGGAATGTAATAACATACCAAAAAAAATAAATTAAGTTTCATTAGGACACAATAAAAACAGAAAAAGTACACAATTAAAAAAAGATGAAAATTACACCAATTATACTAAAAACAAATTCCTAGAAGAGTATGAAAAACTGAAGTTTTCGGAAAGATATATCTTCCTGGTAATGACTGCTATATTGATTTGGCAAACTTAAACATGTACATCTAAAAAAAAAATCTCGGTACTTTAGATAGCTCTGTTGTAACCGGCCATACCCAAATAGTTTTGTGTACGTTCTACCGCCTGTACCCAAAATTATACTCCAGAACAAAAACCTATTCATGTGAGTAAAATTGTTAATTAATCGAATCAAATTCTGTCAGATAAACGACTGAGTTAGATATGTTTTTGCTAATTTCGAACACAGGCAAGACTTGAAAAAGCATTGCGTTGACTTGAAACCTTGTGAAAGTTAGTTATTATTTCCTTTCAAATTTAAGTTTCACTTTTACAAACAAACTTCTTCAGAGCTACCGTGACTACTTCCAGATGGTTCAGGAATGGCGTGAATGCTGACTGGGCTCTGAATGCTCCCATCAGAAGGTGATCCCGAATGTCCTTCGGGGTCACTGGAAGACAGCGTTGTTAACGAGTGTTCTCTCTTGTGCGAGGGTAATTGTCTTCGATCAATTTCTTCGGAAAATGAATTGCGACGCATGTCTTCTAGACTTTGAGATTGTGGACATGAGCTCAGGTGACCTTTCTCATCAATGAAAGGTATATCGTGGGAAGCGCTTCGCGTTGCCACACTGCTGTGACCCGTTCCATAATCATTGTTTCCTGACTCGTTGTATCTTCCTCCTCTGACTACAAGAAGAGGAGTACCAGATCGTTTACGAATTTCATCAGTGTCTTTTATATTTTCGTCAACTTTCTTCTTGTAGTGCGGGGCGTCCTCTACTGTGAGATTTGTAGTAGAATGACCAAGAGCCATTGTGTGTGATAATATACCAGCGCTAACTGTTGGATGGGACCTGTGTTCACCCAGCTGTCCGAGAACAAGGTTGGTGTAGCGACCAGTACGACTTCTGAAAGGAAAGTGACCTTGCTTCAACGCTTTTTTTGTTCATTTTCTATGCTCACTAAATATTGTACATTTATTACTTTGTTGACAAAAAAATTGAAAATTAATAAAAATTCAAGTTTAAAATATCAAAATTAGTTTTTTTTACATCTGTACCAGAATTGTAAAAAGTTTCGGATTTTTTTGCTGAGATATCTCTGTTATATCGTCCCTATACCCAACACTGAATTATGGTGCTATTCAACATTAGAATTATTTGATCGCACTATTGGATAAGGCTTCATAAGTTGTAATGGCGGTCAAAATACTTTCATACAGACTAAGCGTTGACATTTTTGAATTTTTTTTGAAGAAAATGTTTCATATGGGCCTAGTTAATTTTGTTCGGGTTTACGGGGCCTTGTCAACTGCGTCAAAATTATGTTATGGCTGGATACCATGCACAACAAAAGTTTAGATGTTTATCACCAGATCAAATATAAAATCATACCCGGGGCTATAAGTCGATATATCGTCTTGTGGTAATGGTGCAGTCCATCCGAAGCTACTGAAAATATTTGGCGGAACGTTGCGTCGTCTGCCTCTTACTTTCGGATTTCTCATCATTTCTTCACGAGCGTGATAAGATAGAACTGCTCCTTTTTTCATTTTTACAAAACAAACATGAAAAGATCTGTACGAAAACGAAAGATATTTGTATATCTCTGCTTTTACTGGAAACCCGTCTATGCGTTAACACAGAATAATAATAATATACAAAGTCAATTGACATAGAAATTTACGAAGGACATTGCGGTTTACTGATAACTTCAAAAGCGAAAATCGTATACCTATTATCATTGGACTCATTGTTTTACAGAGTTTATTGCATAGAATGAAGTTCCATCTCGTGTATTTGTTTAATATTCATGGATATATACCTTTGAAGAAAAGGACACTCACCCACATATCATTGTTAGCAAAACTGATCCTGCAAAAGTCAGTGGTCCAATGAGTACCGCAATAAAAATTGAGTATGGTTCATCTTGACATGTCATTCCCTGTCCTTGCGCATTTGCAATGGTCAGCCCCGCCATATTTGCGGGAGATGCACAGACAGCTAGTTCGACTTCAATCTGTTTTGTCTGAGAATTGATCGTGTAGGAAGGTGGGTCGATGTGTTTTCCTGAAGACTGATTACCGTTGACGGTGACTACTGTTACTGACCATTCTTTCAAAAACCTAATGTAGCAATCGCATTCTAGAGGGTTCCCATGTACCCATATATGCGATAATCTTGGTAAAGTGGTTGAAATCGGCAGTGTTCCATATCGATATCTTGCGGATGCAATGTTGAGGCGTCGAATCCCACAGTTCTAAAATTGCATAAAAATAGGGTTTTGTATGGATTAACACATATCGGGCTACAAGAGTAAATATTAAAAAAGGGTGAGCGGTTTTGTATAATGTAGCTTTTACAACACTTTGATTTTTTTTTCCATTTCCAGTGAATACTGCTGATATTTTTGTAAGACATTTACCCCTCGGTTCAATATAAACAGTTGCATTATAAACAATTCGTTAAATAGCAGTTTTTTCAAATTTGTCAGAAATCACTATAAACATTTGGTTTGAAATGTTTTACTGCTTTTCTCTGACACAAAAATCAAACCAATTGATATGATATCGCATTAGAAAAATATAAGTGGAATGAGATGCCAGGATTTGAACAATAACCTTGTTCTACCTGGTAACAGTAAGACTAAATTTGATCCGTGTTTATCACATAAATTTTGATGCATTCATACCAAGCTTCTAGCCTCAAGAGAGAACGAGCACTTCAGGTTTGGCATATATTATTGTGTTGATACACGCTTCGCTTTAAATAATTCATCGACTAATCAAACGTTGTTTTAATGCCGAACAAACATGTTATATAACACATTATAGTATAAACTTATACGGAGCAGTTACAAAGTGTTGCCCCTAAGTGAATTCTAGCGCCACTTGCACAAATTTTTGACTGGAAGAGAAATTCATTCGGACATAAAAATAATAAAATACAGTTTGGATTGCATTCTCCAAAATTAAATAGAACCGTCTTGTTACTTTTCACGAGGTGTTTCACCCCTTCTCTCATTCAAAAAATAAATAAATAAAAATTGCTATATAAATATATGCAGAATTCCTGCTTTAATAGTTCCTGCTTTAATGGTTATTTGCCAAAAAGTCCCAAATTAGCATAACTAAACAATTAGTTGAACTATATGGGGACTCACATTGAATGTCTGCGTATGTGGCTTTAAAATATATCAGTGTCATGTGTATGAATACTACATTTATGAGTAGAAAGGTAGTGATATAGTATATATATAGATAATAAAGCTATGCTTGATTCTGTCTGTGTTCACAGACCAACTTTTTAATTAATTACTGGGAATTATTTTTCATGAAAACGAATGTACTTATTCATGAACAATCTGAGTCGATTGGACAAGAATGCATTTAAAATAATAACAAGCGATTAGTATGGTTGCATTTTTCAGAAACCTCCTAGTCGTTGTTTCAATGTTTCGTTCACCTTATGCTCCGTTAATATGTTAAAATTATATTTACCTGAAGAAATAAGTATTGTAGGTTTGGTAAATAGTCAAACGTATCATCTTCTATATAGTTTAAATGAGGATTTCCATTCAAGTAAAGTGTATTCAACAATGGTAAAGGTCGTAACCAGTGTGGCTCCACATTTTCTCTCGGAATTTCCATGAAATCCAACATTGCCTCATCGATAGTTTCACTTTGCTTTGCAGTCGCGTTCCCTTCATAAGATGGCGTCACATTGAGGTCAAGCGTGAATACGGCAGACAAAGCATGTGCGGATATTTTGGATAATACGTTATGTGAAAGATCTAAAACTTTGATATTTTTCTCAGGCCCACCATTTATCCAGCCTTGTTCCAATTTTTTAATATCACAAGAGCTTAAATTCAATTCCCTTAGATCTTCCAATCCAGCGAATGTTTTACTAGAAAGTACACCTCGTGATATCTTGTTTTTGCTGATGTCCAGATATCTCAGTTGGCCGAATCTATTGAAAAATTCCGTATCTTTAACAGAATCCAAACTTATGTCATTATTTGAAAGCAATAAGCTCTTTAAGGAATAAACAAATGAATCACTTGGTGAGAGACCTCCGGATGTTATTTGATTTGAAGACAGATCTAAATGCTCAAGTTTGGGAAAGTTTGCAAGAACATTTCCTTCAATTGATAGGATCTCATTTCTGCTCAAATCCAGCCTGGAAAAAAAAAAAATATATGTAAGCATTGCTATTAATTTAATCGCAATTTTGAGCATGTGTTGATAAAGTATTTGATTCAAATCTCAACTATTGAAAGAGAATACATATTATATTCAATGCGTTATGTAACAATATAAACAAAAGTTCGGTAATTAAAGTATTGTAATATATGAACAAAAACTTCAGAAAATAAATGCTTATGCATACCTCTTGAGAACAGGAAAAAAACCTGCTTCGTTCAATCGAAAATATTTGATATTATTTGAAGACAAATCCATCTCCAGAAGCTCATGGTACATTGTTAAACCTAAGGTCCATTGTAGGTTCTGCAAGTAGTTTTCTTTAAGAATTAAAAGCCTCAAGTGTTTAAGTGAACGAAAAGCATCATTGCTTATTGAGTGTATGGTATTGTTAGCGAAACTCAAAACAGTGATCGGTGATGAAGTTTCAACGTCATCCCTGTCTGCCACAAAATCTAAAGAATTTAATTGGGATATTTTATTACCGTCCAAAAATAGCGCTTCGATCTCGGCGGGTAGTCCTTTGGGTACAGTGGAAAATCCAGAACGTGTGCAGAAATATATATTTACGTGATCCGGTTTTGTCTTGATTCGTTCCCAAGCACCGATTTGATTTTCATTTTCGAGTAAAATGTTCATTAGCTGATGATTATCTTCGCCGAACACGCAAAGGCATCTGTTGGGACATCCATTTGTCACAGTGGTTTGACTTGAGACAGATCTTAAAAGGAAAAAACATAGCAACACGCAGATTGGCATGCTGCTTGAAACGTATTTTCTTGTAGATTTTGCATAGGTACAGACATTATCTTTCGGCGTGTCTCTGGCACAATTGGGATTTGGTCCTAAAAAAACGTGCCCGGCAGCTCGCCTGCATAGGCTTAATGAGCCTTGCTCTGACATTGAAAGGAAATTTGTGACATGGAATTTTGATAAGCATTTGACATAAGTTCCACGACATAATTTTGTTTTTCTCGCATAAATCCCATAATTATAATTGACCGCATGACCGTTACGCAACTTATGTTCCTTCCATACTGCCTCTCCTGAGTTACACCGGCGAAAATGATTATCACATCGCACTACGGTGTTGTGTTCGGAACTTGAAAACGACTCTTGTGGCTGCTGATTGCAGCAGCTACTCATATTCAGCTCTTCCATGTATTCCACTTTGCAGACAATCCATTATTTCAGAATTAGAACATATAATTAATTTCTATCTGCATGGGAGAAAATAAATTCACAAAAATCTTCGAAGTAATTATTGCTTGATTTTTCTAACAAACTTGAGCAAAGGTAAAAATCAACAATAAAGGCCGATCAGTAAAGAAGGTACAAATTTATTTGTCGATTGTGTTTAGGGAAATAGCATCGAGAAATAACGTCCATGGACGAGCGGTTATGAACATCTAAATTTATCAAAAATTGGCAACTCCAATTTCTCAGCTTTATGTTTTCGTAATAAAGAGTTTTAGATTGTCAGTTTGTTTCAGTATTTTGCGACTACGGGAATCCAAATCCATGTAAACAAATCTTTAAAGCTTAGTCTGTAGAGATTAACGTGTTCCCATGGGAAGTTCGATGAATGACCAAGCATTTGTGTTTGAGAGAAATAGGCATTAAATTTTTGATGAATTCAGTAATTGAATTACATTCGTAATACCGTGAAAAAACATCTTATTCAATTATATCAGCTCTATAAGTCCGCGCTATGAAACATGAAATCATTTGCACATTTTCAACTGAGGAATTATACGATTTCCATATTTTTTTCGTATATTTTTCGTTTTTAAAAGACTTTTTCTTCATGCAACGTATTATATATTCGTCATAAATTACAATATATTACCAAGTAACCTGGACTATAGAATTGCATTTGGAATGTGACTTAAAGTTTACTATTGAAGAATTGCTGAGCACAGTCTTTGATGCGGTACATGAATTTTTTTCACGCGCTATGAAATGCTACGAAAATACGTGTGGATTCGGCTTATAGATTTGCTAAGTTGTCAAGATTGAATGTTGTGTGGGATTATTGAACGTTGTTGAGTACTTAATAAAACAATTAATTTTTTTATAATCCGATAAGCACATGTATTATGAATTGTTTTTTTGCGAAATATAACACTATTTCATAGGAAATTATACTGAAATTTTACTAATATTTATACAAATTTAACTATTAAAACGGTTAAATGTATACGAGTAAATAAAGATATCACTGCGGTGCAAATATAAGGTTTCCATATTCTAATCTGATAAAACTAAAAGCACTAACTAAACAAAATTTAAATTCAACTCTCATAATTATCGACTTTGAAATTATTCAAATTGTAACCACATCTTCAAAAATGACTACCCTGATCCAACTGTGTGTAAACCAGAATGCACAACAGTGGTAATGCTCTACTAACCTGTGTTTTCCTTTTTTTACACAACGATACTCTGTAAGTCACTTAAAATGGAAGCCTCACTTATTACTACTTTCAGTTATTCATTAACGAACAAATTGAGTGCAGACTTCTTGAACCAGGTAATTATTTACAAATATCAATACACGTATTCCATACGTTTTATAGTAAATTATTATCTAACACCGAATCAATCGCTTACATTCATTAGAAACAGAAATTACTCAAGATATAATTTCTGGCCCTCATGTAACCATACATTTGCAATATTGCATCATGGACAGATATAGTATATCTACATATGCAAATAATAAACTTAATGAACTACAAAAACAAGCGAAATCACTTGAATTTAATTTTCTGTACAAATTTCACACATTGCGTTTTGAAGCTTCACATTATATTTTCACTCAGTGTGGACTGTGAAAACAATTTGTCAGTCATTTTCGGTTTTGGGATATATTCCTATGGGCATCCTATAGAATATGGATATAGCGCAATTAGCAGAGAACTCTTACTTACAGTACTATACTTCTTAAAACCACAAATCGAAATATAGAATGTCTTGCTAAACTTTAACTCCAAACCGAGATCGATTAAACGGTGTTCGTGTTCCTAAAAATTTTGAGATGTGAGGTAGGCAATTATTTTTGCAGACGAAAAACTTGTACAGTTACCACCACAAAAACTTGTTGCTTTGCGACGACTGAATTGCAATGCGTTGCGGTAATAAATATGAAAATTACATGTTGCGGTCACCCGACGGGCGTATTGGGCTTTTGAGTAATAGATAAGAATATTTAATTGTCATAGACATTATTTCCTATACGATGCGGCGCCAAGAAAGTTATAATTCAAGTATGCTAAGGCTAGATTCATATCTAGCTCATACCCAATCGAAGATTGCCATCTGAAAATGTCGAATTGAAAATACAATTCAATTTGATGCGTTTTTGATCGTTTTTACATATTACCGTCGCAAAATTAAATTTGCGCTTCAACATTCCAAAGACATGTTTGGACTACAATCCAGTTTTATGATTAATTTATGAACGACTATCAACCATTTATCGCCTGCGCGATACCGAAATCATTTTTTTATGGATATTTAGGAATTAGCTTGTAGTGTAGACTGTAGAGCTTGCTTCCATTTTAACTCAACTCATTGCTGTCCATAAAAACAACTGCACTGGGCATATTCGAATTGCGTAAGATACGAAACAATACCGACCCATTATATTTAAGAGACGACCTGAATACTCTTACATGTGTCCTAACAAACACAACATTGTCCTAGATCTTGTTTTAATTTGTATAAGTCAAATCATCCTAGTTTGCAAATAGGAGTTTCACCTGTATAACGTTAACTGAATTTTATATTTTGTAGAAAAACTTATGAGCACTTAAACGGTTTATGGTAAACACACCAACATCCTTTCATAATACTAATATTTACAAAGACTCAAGTTAACCAATGACAGGCCATGAAAGCTAACAGTCGCCAATATAGAATGCTTTATATTTAAGAGACGTTAGGAAAGTTAAATATCAACCAATAGCAGTTACACCTTAATGTAGCTTTTACACACTAAGAGATGTCCAAAATTGCCAGATTCCAGTAATTTGATCATGTACATTTGACGATTTTTTCCATCCTTTTTTCTTTTTTGGATGTGGTTAGTATATTCCAGTCTTTGGAGAAATCTCGGCATCTCAAATACGAATGGAAAAAGATGAACTGTATGAAGTTATCAGAATATTTTACTGCGTAATTGCGCTATAGGTTGAAACCGTTGCGAGACGAAAATTTGAAACGGTAATCTTAAACAAGACTTCTACTTCCTTTTTGACTTCGAGAACCATTTCACTGACACCTATTGCAGATTTATAAAATATTGTTAGATGCAATGAAAGTAACTCGCCCGATATTTAAAGTTACTACTAACTTGAGGGTAAAAGATTTTTCTGAGAAATGATTGTATGTGAGATGCAACCTTTTCTATATACTGTTATTATTGGAAATACCTTTCACTACTTATGAATCGTCCACATCAACGTTCAAACAAGTACCTCTTACCAAAATCAAAAGTACTAAGTTTGTGAAACAAAGGTTACCCTTAGAGCTTATGTTGGGTTATATACTTCGGTCTCGGTTACACTGGTTGAAATTTGGGAACACAATACTGCATTGCCAAAACCTCATAGCATCAGAACGTCTTTGTGGCAGCAATGTCCACATTGGGATGACGTGGTTGGTTATAAGGCACCTTTCGGAGTTTCAAACCAGTAATTCAACTTCAGCTTACATCGTTTAGGACAATCTAACAATTTAAGGTAATTTCGTGACAATAGAAAAAGTGGATGAAATACTATACTTCTTGCTGAGCCATAAGACGAAAACACTCCCACAGTCTTTTTATGGCTTACAATATGCCTGCAATAGGTCGGATATTTTTTCTTTCCCTATACGCCGTGTATATTGATATAATATTAAAAAGATAACTCTATTACATTCGTCTGATCCTTTTCTATCCTTCCCTTACTTTTATATCGATTTTGACCTGAAGAATTTTTCAGCAATAAAGTACCTCCTACTAACTTCGACGCGAATGTAAGACCGCACATTTTAGATTTAATAATGTGGTTGAATAAATCATCGCACCTGACCTGAATGCGTCAGTCTTGCGTAAACACTCACCATCACAATTTTTACACCTAGCCACCGAGCTGATAATTAGTTTCTCGTTATCAAGACGTCACAGAGGACATTCGTGAAAAATTTGTACAATTAACCTAATTTCTTTTATAAACCTAGTTGCATCAATCAATACATGGGACGAATTGGCGTACATCACAGGTGATTTGAAGGTGTATTTTGTGTATGATTGATTCCATACGGAGATACTGCTTTAATTGGGAAGAAAGGCTATGTAATTGTAGTGAATTTGCACATTTCTGAACAGTATAAGGGTAGTTATTTCATAGGCTTTATGTAATAAACACCTCGGAGTAACTTAACTATTAGCGATGACAATTGAAATCTATTCTTTGTTATGCATTCCAATGACAATAATCTATTGGTATCTTTGCAGAGCAAATCCGATGTGTTCCCCTGAGAATGATCCATCCATACACATTAACAAATCTGATTGCAACTCCCTTAGTATTTTACCGTCTATCAGTTGAACAGAACAGAGTAGTAATTGAACATAACGCAGATTTTCTGCAGCAGGTGAATGCAAGCAAACCCGAAGATTTGAACACACAAACAAAATCTTATTTGTTCAAAGCCCCTCTAACAATTTAGTAATTACAGACTGACATTTCATTCGCGGAAACAAACACAATTTCTTGTAACTATCTCGTTGAACCAATTTTTCGTTTAAATTGCTTATTCGATTTTTAATTTCAACAGCAAACTAATGACATAAAACTGTATTGAAATAATAATAACAGGTTGACATCTTACTACTTAGCAAACAGATAAGTCCGGTCAGTAAATAGATGTTTGTAAACAAGTGAATACATATTATGAGTAAGGTTAGCTTATGTTAGTATAATTTTATAGTATTTTGGGTGTATTTAGAAAAGTGTGAAATAATAAAATTCCAGGAATCTGACAGAGTCAGACAATTTTAAGTAGAAATCAATATTTTTTTTTCATTTCCGAGGTAATGCCAACACCGGTACCCCAAGCATATGTTGAAAATTTCTATTAAATTTTACACTAAAAGCTGAAGCTAATCTACACTGAGCTCTAAATTGTCTATAAAGATGCCACAATAGCAAATAAACATTCTATTTT